AGTTGATCGCAGGGGCGGACTGGTCATCGGGAGTTTCGAGAGAACTCCCGATGGGCCGGTGGGCTGGATGACTGGAAATGAATACAAAATCAAATTAATTATTTAAAATTAAAAGTTCATGGAAAGCCGTATACAATAAATATAAACAACCTACCTAGCCCGAATCAATATTCTTATTATATTTTTAAGGTGAAGGGGGGAGAAAAAGTCCTTTATATCTCAATGTTTTGTTGAATAATTAAACATTGACTTTCCTTGTGAGATATAAAGGACTTATTCTCCCCCCTTCACCTTAAAATTACCTCAACTCACACATGGCTACCCCCCTTGTCAATTCTTATTATATTTTTTAGTAAAGATTTATCGAGCTTGATTTCATATTACTTATCATTTACCTAAAGATAAGGCGTTCGTATATTGTTGTCATTTATGACTCGTTATTTCATTACGTTAGTTTTGTAATAGATTATTTATTTGACAAATCCAGGGCTCAATCTAAAGTTGGTGCTGGTAGCTTGTATTATCGCCATATTTTATAGTTTACAGGTAAGTAAGTTTGTAAATATTTTTTTCGTTTTATTTAGCGAAATAGTTGAAAATTGACAAAATATTATTTCATAAGAAAACATCAAATTAAAACATGTTTTTATTTAAAAACAAAACAGATTTATAGTTAATATACAGGGTGTTCCAGAAAAAAGTGCCATAATTTTAACCACGCATTTAGCGCATCAAAATAAACAACTTTTGTCAAATATAAGTTTTGAAAATGTACCATTTTTGTTTGATATTTGTAAACCCTAAAATAACCCTAACGAGCTGTCTATGATAAAAGAAATAATTACAATAAAATCTAGCAAAGTTTTTAATGCATGATTCACAATGTTATCCTTTTTTTGCTACAGATCAAATGACTAACACGCCCGACGATTATTTTGAATTTTAGTTGTGTACATGTCGGGTAATAGCTTGCGGTTCGATTTATTTTGCTTCTTAAAATGCCGATTTTTACCAATAGTGAATAACATGGTGTTAGTTTAGAACGAGTAAAAACAAATTTTCATAGGCGTGTTTAATTCTGCTTAGAATATAAAGGAGGAGAATTTGAACATTTGTTATAAACTTGTGAAATAATTTGTGCATTTTTTAAATAACAAGGCTATAAAAGATTTTTTTGGTAAGTCAAAAATTCTTTATTTCTTGATGTGCAAAGAATAACAAAACATTGTTTACATATTTGGTTTTATAACAGAAACAAATTTTATAGCACATAATATACTATCACAGTGGAAATAATCTGGACCAGTAAACTGTATTTTAATCTAATGGGGCATGTTCAAAAATTTTGAAATTTTTTTTATGAATAGTAGAGTTAAAAATAAAACTAAATTTTTTTTATTTTTTTTTTATCTATTCATTTGCCGGAGTTATGATTTTTTTTAAAATTTATGACGTCACCGGGAATAGACCAATAGGAGCTAGCGCACAACGTTGCCGGCTAGAAGGTTTACGAGAAGTGATGTACGTTCGTTTGTGTACTCCTTCTTACTTTTAGACTTCTAAAACATCGTTAAACAAATATCTTTTAAATATATAATATCAAATGTTTTTTGAAAGTATTATTTCTGTTTAAACTTTTACCATATTTAAAGTTTCATTGTTTTAAAAGTCACTTAATAATTCAGAAAATGGCAAAATGGCAGCACTGTGTATGGCATCTGTCATCATAGTGTCTCGATCAAGAATTTATTTGGAATTTGAGTGTTTAATTTTGTACTTTTTATAAATATTATGACTACGAAAAAGTGTTTTGTTCCAGAATGTGATAATGATTCACATTCATCTTCAAAAATATTTATTAGTGTTCCTAGAAATTTGGAAAGAAGAAAATCAACCTTCTACTAGCGATGTTTCTCGTAAACTTTTTAATAAAAATACACCGGATTATCAAGATGTAGCAGCAATTTCTGCTAATTGTCCCCTTCAGGAAATTGAAAATGAGGCTACTATAAATTCTTAGGTGTATAACCTAAAAACCCTTCTGGAAGAAAATGCAGAATCTCCTGAAAGTTTTGAAGATACCGAATTTATTCATCATTTTGTGGAAGAATAGTGATAAAGAAATAATAGAAAAATGTGGGTATTTAAACAAACTGGTTCCTGGATCCCATATAATGGCAGATAGGGGTTTCAGAATATTTAGCTACTTGAAAACATGGGATGCACTTTAGTAAAGCCACACCTAGTGTATCACAGAATGAAAAAAGTTCTCCAGAAGATGTACAATTAAGTAAAAGAATAGCATCTCTAAGAATACATGTGCAAAGAGTTATAAGAAGGGTTAGTTAATTTAACAAGTTAAAACCACATTCGTGTGTGAATTTTAAGCAAGTACATTTACTTAGTAATATCTGCATAATTGCTTGTTAACTTACAAGAACCTATCTTGTAAGAGTAAATATTAATTTAATACATTTTTTTTGTTTGTTTTTTTAATTTAATTTACCTAAATATCACATTTCAGGGATTATAATGAGTTTTTAAGCAGCCAATATAATTTTTTATAAAATTTTAACTTTTCGAACAAATCAAAGAGGAATGAGTACCTGTATATGCATAGATTTTTTTGGGACTAAAACTACCAAAACAAAGGCACCTATTTACAGCAGTTTAAAATGAAACATTTTGACAAAAACGCCTATGTCACAGTGATAAATATTAAAAACAACCAAGTTCAGTTGAATGTGGTAGCAAAGTCTATATATTCCAATAAATCGGGTAACTACATGTGGTATAAATTTAAAAATATCACAATTCTTGCTACCTTTTTCAAAAAACCAGAAAGTGTGCCTTCTTATCAATCCTTTATGAAAATGACAACAGTGATAAATGTGAAAAAAAAATTTAATGTTGCTATTCGTTATTACGATAGTAAAACATGTTTGCAGTTCCGTTTATTTTTTATGAAAATCTAAGTAAAAACAACCAATGTCAAAGGGTTATAATTTTTTTTCTGTTGAACCAAATATATCACAAAATTTAAAAATTGATCATAGGTCAAGCTAAAGTAATACCTTTATTGATAGTAGCTTTAAAAAAGGAGAAAGAATAATATTGACTTAAATTATTATTATTAACATTGGTGATTTTTAATAAAAACTCTTCAATTATTGTTTACAAACAAAAATATAAAAATCTGTGAAAATTTTATTTATTAATCTTTTAATAAAAAATGAGAAAAATGAAGTAAATAACAATTTATTTACAAATAAAAAATATATATACAAATCCTAAGAATATAAAAGTACTGCTTTATTTTCCTGTAGTGGATGAAGAGGTTTCTTTAACAATCTAGCCAAGTGTACATCAATATTTACGCATTTTGATAAATTAGAGCCTTTCCAATAACACTGAGTAGATGTTACAGATGGTTCCTCACTTCTTCTATGAAGCCACATATTTACAACCAACTGAAAAAAATAAAAGGGTTAGATATGCAGTTACAAAATAACTATATAACCAGCTACAAAATGCCTTTATTTTATGTAACAAGACGAGCAGAGCTTTACTAGCTCTGAACGAATCCAGTAAAGAACCTCGGATTTTCAAAACTTAAAAAAAAACAATCTCACCACATTTTCACATTTTTGAAATATTATAGAGCTTTTCGAAAAAAACGGCTATTTTTAAAAATACAATTTTTTGTTTAAACAGCTATGGCTCATTTTAGGCTATTGAGTATTATAAAATAAAAAATTACGGGATGCTTTGTTAGCTTCAAACGAATCCAGCAGAGCACCCCAGTTTTTTTTTAAACCACACCACGTTTTTTGGCTCCTACAATATTATAAAATATTCGAAATTTGGCTTCAAAGTTTTTTTCTGAAAACAAATGTACTTACCACATTTTTAGGATTTTAAAACAGCCTAAACATGTGTCATAAGTAGTTGTTTTTATATATAAAAAAAAAAATTAAAAACTGAAGTGTCCTGCTGACTTTGTTCCAACAAAGCACCCTGTATTATTTAAAAATAGCAATTTTTTTAGTAAAGTTTTACAATATTTCAAGAGTCTAAAAATATTCTAAAAATGGGGTGTGGTTTTTAGAAAAAAGCTTTAAAAAACCGAATTGCTCTGCTGGCTTCTTTCGAAGGTTAGCAAGCACCATGTATTTTTAAAAATATAATATTTCAAGTGCATAAATATATGGTGTTGCTGTTTTTACAGAAAAAACTTTATAAAATAGAGGTGCTTTGCTGACTTTGTTCGAAGCTATAGAGCATTTTAAGTTTTGCAAAAAACGAGGAGCATAAAATTTTTGAAAAGGGTATAAAAATAGCCTAAAAATATGGCATATTTTTTAACTCAAAATTTCATAGGTGCTCTGTAGCATTCTTTGGTATCATAATTATTACTAGGTTCACTAACAAAATCTGTTTCTAGATTATTTTAACACTTGCTGCGATTACAAAAAATGTCTATGTCAAAATTAGAAAAAAAATATTTATAGGAATAAAGGGCCTTATACACTGTTTATTATATGTAATATAAAAACAAAAAAGCATAATAAATATTACAAACCTTGATATGCAGCATATCCTAAGCATATTGTGCACTAAAAATTTCATTTTTGTTAATTACAACGCAACCACATCAGAAGGTTTTTGCCGTACTTTATGTTTAGGTGTAATTTGTCTCCTTCTCTTTTATGGAAAAAGAAATTATACCCATATTCTTGCTTGGCAGATCTAAAAATAAAACCTGAGATAAATATGTTTTACTTGCTCCATATAAACTGTAACTACCTACTATTAAAACAAAGTCTTACCTTTCTGACTTTTGTAAACTGAGTATTGTTAAAAAATGCAGTAATCATCTCGGTAATCATATTTTCGTTTACAATGGGTAAAACACTTGATTCAACTTTTATAAATCCAGCTGATTCAAATTAATAATAAAATTAAACCAAAACAAAAAACTAAGGTTAGATGTTACTGATGTTAGGTGATGTCAATTTTAATGTCACTTAGATGTGCGTTCACTTCGACATTCTGTGTGTTGGTTTGTTCGTTGGCTTGGTTTTGTATAACAAAAAAAACTTCGTCACAAGATGATTGGTCTATTCCCGATGACGTATAATTTCAAATTTTAAATTTCAATTGGGCTTAATTTAAAAACTTTTGGCTTTTTTAACGAACTGACTATTTAGAATAACTTGTATAGCGACTAACTATTACAATATAATTTATAAAACAGCATATCTCACATGTGAACATGGCCCATTAACAAAATAAATCTGAAAAATAATAAGATTGGGTAGAGGTCCTTCCATTTATATTAATGGGTATGTTGGGAGCCTATGAAGAGGATCTTCATACTACGGTTGCAGAAATGGTTTATGGAGAATCTATTCGCCTTCCTGGAGAATTTTTAGTAGACCATAATAAATTAGAACTAAAACCAGTTGACTATATCACTGAATTGAGAAGACGATTTTCATATATCAGACCTGCTACTAGAACTCGCCATGGAAAGCAATCCACGAATGTTTTTAAAGACTTGAATTCGGTTTCACATGTATTCTTAAGGAAGGATATGTTTAAAAAAAGTCATGAGTCTCCATATGAAGGACCGTACCAAGTCGTACAGCTAAAAAAGAAGCAGTTAGTTATTTGTATTTGTGGTAAAAACGTTACAGTTTCTATCGATAGAGTAAAGCCAGCCTATATTTTGAATAAAGAGCAGCCAAATCTATTATGTAAACAGCCTACAGATGTACCTTCAGGAGTGATACAAACTAGGTACTAGATCCGAAAGACAAGTGAAACTTCCTGTTAGATTTAATTTTTAAAATGTTTAATGTTATATATTATATTGTATTCTTTTTGCGGGGGGAGTACTGTAGTGACTATCGCCCTCCTCACTTCGTGACTGCTGCAGACTTAAATCTACAGATTCACAAAAAGTGTAACAACCAGGAAGCCTAATGACCATTTGTAACTACTGATAGGTCTTTAGCTACTGTTGTCATTATACTATTAAGGGATAAAGGCAGCACCTGTCACCAGCCCTAGGGTCCTGGAGTCCTGAAGGAACATCCATTCGCCAGTGGCAAAAGAAAATAATAAAGAAAAAATAATAAAATACAAAAAACATCCCTTAATAGCATATGTCGAGCGGTTCTTGGCAACTAGTTTTAGACTCTTTTAGTCCTAAGGGAATAGAAACGCCGAGGCTTCTCAAATGCTCGGAGTATTTTGCTGGTTTGGAAAGGGAGGAGAGATTAATAATAAGTATTAAAACATTAACAAATGTATATTAATAATAAATATAAAATTTGACAAATAGTCTTAAAAAAATGAATAAAATTCCATTTAGGGAATAAAGCACTATAACTAATAGTAATGAAGATATGCATAAGATAAATATAATTCGGGACAAAAATGTAAAATTGGCATTTAAATGTAAATCAATCAATCAATTAATATTAAACAAAAAAAAACACTTTAAAATTAAGTTAAAATATTTACCCATAATTCACATCGTACACAAAAACTATACTGTACACTTTACAATACAAAACCAGGGAATTTTCGCCCAAGGGGGCGAAAGTTCTGGACCTTAGTCCGAACCCGCCTGAGAGTTTACCCCAAGTGATCCTTTCTATATAAACTAAAATTTACGTGATATTTGGTTGTATTTAAAAATGTCACGTTCAATGTAGACACCTGAAGGTTTGTTTCATTTTAATACGTGTCTTTTTAATTATTTAATTTAAACATTAAATACTTATTTAGAATTTTTGGTAAATTCTTTAGATTTTTTCAAATAATAATAATGCCAATTATTACAAAAGTGACGGGAGTAAAACAGAACGTCACTGTCAGATCTTCTCTGAGTAATATACGTTTCGTTTCCTTCGGTAATCGTTTTGATCGGCCCTATTAAATCACCTAAAACTACAATAAATGTATTCAAAAGTAACCTCAAACAATACTTGATAAATAAACAGAACGGATATATATTAATATATATATTTTTTTTTTGGAGTGAGGGTAGCCATATGTGAGTAGTAGGGATTAAGTATAAGGGGTTGATAGATAAAATGCTTCATAGAAAACAGAATAAACGTAATCAGAACAATAGTTACATAATTAACCCCCTTCCCAATATTGAAGCAGATAATCGTAAGTATGTTTCACTTACTTTTATTGGAAAATTCTCATATAGCCAACTTGTTCAAAGATTCCTTCAGAATTAGCTTTAGAACGTCCAACTCCATCAGTAGCCTCTTTGTTAGGAATAAGGATAAAATTGATCCTATGGATCAGTCTGGTGTTTACAAACTAACTTATTTAAACTGTCCATGCTCATATGTGGGAAGGACCTTTCGTAATTTTAAAATACGCCTGAAAGAGCACACACGCTGTCTTAACACTAACACTACTGGTTTTTCTCACTTTACTGCTCATTTGTTTTCTGTTCTTATTTAAATTAATTTGTCACCTGTACCCCCACTCATTTGATCTTCAATCAGTTACTTACCACAAACTCTCTCCCAATTTAGATTTTCTTCTCTGTTTCCATTAATTTTTGCCCACTCGCATCTTTCATATTAAATGTTCCCTTAATTGGCTTATTTAAATTCTCCCACGTGGTTGTCATACGCCAAAATTTGACTTTTCTTTTTTGACATTCGTACTTGTCAACTCATTTTCCGTTTTCCTGTAACAGTAATTTTTCTTTTGATTATCTGCTTCAATTTTCACTTTTACATATGAATTTTCATATTTTCTTGTTTAGTGTTCTATTTTTCTTATTAGTATATTTTACTTTCTCATTCCAATTTAATATTTTTACTATCAATAATAATAATAATAATAATACTCTCCCTAATTCACCCCCTTACGAGTGAATTTCAACCCCTGAAGTCGACTGAACGACTTGTGTAGGGGAAGGGACGGCTATTATTATTATTTGCCGTGGCGCTCCGGGGCGACTTAAAGATGATTGATGGTGCCATTTGACTTACAGGTGAGGAAAACCCGGAAAACCTCACCCACCATCATCAATAAATTGTGCCACTGCCACCTATACTCACTTTCAGTAAATAACAACTTTTTTAGTACACTATTTATCCGCTAAATTTAAAATTTACAGTTTACTGCACTGATTCGTTAAAAATCTAGATAGATGTCATGGTAGTCTGATAATTTTTACTTTTTACTCTTTACTTTTCATTTGTAATTAACGTCTATTCTTTAAAATTTTTTTTAACTGTTTTTGCTTGTAAAAACTATGTTGTGTTGTTTAGTTAATAATTGTCTTACATGTGTTTTAATTAATTTATTCAATCAGACATCTCGCGGTTTAACCTAACCTAAAAAATATATTTTAAAAAATACTATTGTAGGTATTACATGACTTTTCTGACTTTTTAACTCGTTTTGTTAAACGTTATGTAGCACTTCCTTTATGGAAATAGTCAAGGTGAGTCAAGGTCATTGTTTAATTTACTTTTGTGTTTTTTTCTGTTACTTTGTATATGTTAATGTCCGTTCATACTTTTATAATTGTTTTTATTACTACTGACTCCTTGACATTCCATTTAGGTGTGCCTGATGATGAAGCAATAGCTTCGAAACCGGTCGCCAATTAAAATTGACGTGTGAGAAATAAAGGACCTTTTCTTAACCCCTTATACTTAGAACGGATATACTTTCTTGTGATAATACTCTTTAAACCTGCCCTTTTTAAGTATTTCCCTTAATTTATTGTTATTTTACCACTCGTTTTACCTCGTTTTACTACTCACTATGTTTAAATTATTAATAGTTTTGCGACGATAGGTTATAGCAACTTATAGCCACAAAACTATTTTTGTGTTAAAGTAGATCCATAGAGAGCAATGTAATTTACAAAGGCCTTCTTTCAACTTACAAATAAATGACAACTTTATAATTAAAATGAAAAACACAACAAAATACCTCGGTATCATAATTGATCAAAATTTGAAATGGGTTGATCACATTACGTCATTAAAATCCCAAGGTAAGAAGATTCAATTTTAAATTTTATGAATTGAGAAAATTTATGACTAGGAATTTACTAATTATTATTTACAATTCGCTGGTTGAATATGTAATCCAAAACTGTATAATTAAAATTATCTACAAAAAAACAGCATTTTCTTTTATATAATAAAAAAGTGCTTTGTATTAGAACATTATATTATTTGTCTTGCTGTACCTTGATTTATGGAAAGCCTGAATTGAGATATACTACAAATTATTTGCAATAAATATCAAAAGAAGCAAACATTTTTAAATCATTTGACATTTAAGAGCCATTCACACATCACTTTTGACATCTTGATACTTGACAGGCACAGCCAAGCATTATTCTGCTTTTTGCCAAATAAAATAGCCGGTTAATTATTCTATGGGGTTCCGAAAGAGAGCCAGTAAATTTGATGAAGGTGTTTTTGTGGCTAAGGGCGAAATAATAATAATAATAATATGAGGTATATTACACAAGAATTACATTAATTATTTATTCTAAATACATATAAGTGTAAGTAACCTAGTAAATCCACTAAATAGTAGTACGCTTAAGTTAACACCACCATAAGAAACTGCTTAAATATTTTTCATAAATTGGCAGGCTTGGCAACTAATTTCGAATAAAAATAGCCTTCAAAATGGCTATTTTTATAGTTTGACAGGTCTTTAGAGAATGTTTGCAATTTATGGAATGTTGAGAATGTTAGGAATGTTGACGTTAGAAATAATTGGAATTCCTAAAATTGTCACATAAGAATTGCATAGGCGGATTTTAAGAAAATTGATATTAAAGTAGTTAGGATGAATCGAAAATTCTGAAAATCGATAGGGTTCTAAGTTAGAAGTAATTATTCAAGAAAATCAAAACCGTAAGTCAGAACTTTCGTTCTAGAGTTATTGTGCCGGCATACATACACACAGACGACCAGACGAAAATTTTTTTTTGTATTTTCGTAGTCTTTTAAAAAGGTTTATTTATGGTAAGACATTGACAGTTTACTGTATAGGTATTTTAATGTTGAAATACATGGTCAATTTTTGGAAATAAAACTTTTTGAAACAAAATTTGATTTTTCTCGAAAACGGTCGACTTTAGAGTACCTTTTTTGTGTAGAAAACATTGGCGTTTCAAATGGGCGTCTCAAAACCGTACTTTTTCCAGAGGCGTAGATTTTTTTTTCAATTTAAACACCCTGTATCTCTAAAATGGTGCATTAATAGAAACGTTTTTTCATATTTTTGGACGAGCTATCACGTCCTGAAGTCCTGTGCATACATTATGAAACACCCTGTATATACAAACTTCATAAAAGTAAATTCCTGGATTATACCTATACAGTAAACTGTCAATGTCTTACCATAAATAAACCTTTTTAAAAGACTATAACAGGCAATTGATAAATAAATATAAAAAAATGAGAAAACTTATTTTTATTTGAATTCATATAAATATACAACACTATTAAAAAATATTTGTCGGCTTCATATCATTTCATCAAAAATAAACTTCCACACAAGAGATTCCACACAAGAGATTCCACACAAAACACCCATTATGTTTCTTAGAACGCAACATTTGAAGTTGAATATGGAAGTATAATTTTCTGGTCACTTTGCACTGGATATAAATCTATTCATTCTTATTATTTATAAAAATCACACATTTAATGTTTTTAATTCGAAGAAGAATCGACACCCTCAAATCATTAGATTTAGAACTTCAAACTTTCGACAACAGTGACCTTTTCTAATAACACAATGTTGATGTGATGGAAGGTTATTGACATCGATGGTGTTCAGAAGCCACAACAAGAAAGCAACACTATGTTTGCACCCATTTTAAAAAATAGAACCCTGTAAAATCATTTAATACTTTATTT